AAGTCCTGAAGTTCATATAAAAATAATGGATTTCTTTTTCCCCAAACTAATATTTCTGATTTTCTTGAAACTCTAAATCGATTGAAATCGATTGTTCGTCTAGGCATTCGCTTTGATGTAAACATTTTCCTGGCCGCAAAAATAAAACTATTGCCTTCAAGTAGAGACAGAAATATTAGAAACTCTGGCACGCAAGTAACTAGTTAAGGTGGGGTAAATCGATATAAGCATAGGTCTACAGTGCACGTCATTTGAAGGAATCTTTACTTTCGAGGTATTTATCTACTACACATAAGCATACATACTACACACAAGCAGACATAATAGATTATAGAAGATTAGCTTTTTTTGGTCTTTTTTAAAATAAAGATTCGGATAATTTTCTTTTTTGTTATATGTATGAACAAATGTTGTTTTCAACTAATCTTAGAGAAGCACAAAAGTCTTTACATTGTCATATTGTTTTACCCAAAAAATTCGTCCTAAAATGAATCTGGTATACTCACGATGCCAACAATTTCATTACAGTTTTCTACTGATAGGTTTTGTCTCATGCAAACGATCTCTTTGATGGAAAAGCTCTTAATGGGCTATGTACTATAAACTGGACTCAATTTCAACATTTAGTCTCACTATGTTATTGATGTTGGACGAAGTTTATTATCAAGTCGTAATGGAGCATTAATATTCTATTTTTTTTTTTTTATTAAAATTATTAATGAAAAGTTAAAGAATGAAATATCTCGTGTTTTGTGAAAATAAATTTTTAAATTAAATTAAATCAAACTAATAGGCATATAACCCGATTCCTTGTATTCCCAGTCATTCGCTACTGCAAGATGAGGATAAACTCCCAACGTATATGTAACACCAAAAAGGAAGCTTCAGAGACTCTATAAGGTCTATATATGCTTGATCAGTGTGAAATTCTGAGCTGATTTAGCCATGTCTGTCCGTCTCTGTGTCTATGTGGTGTGTGTTGTAGGCACTCTTCTGCTCGAAAAAATCAAGGTATCGGCTTCAAGTTACGTAGAAACATTGGAAATTTCTGCACGCAGGTTGATATTGAAGATAGTACAAATAGGTCAGAGCATAAGCACGCAATGGAGCGTAACACAAGTCATTTTTTTTAAGAAAAATTTTTAGATTTTTCGGAAATTGTTAAAGTTTCCACATTTACGTTACGAGATACTTTACTCTGTACGTTCAAAAATTGAACCAATCGGCCGCGTCCACACAAAGTTACAAGTAATTAAATTTAATTTTTTTTTCCACTTTTTTGAGATTTATTGCTTATGTATTTATGATAAGGCAAACAAGGGAAAACTCTTAAAACTGTGTTTTCCACTCCTCAAATGCAGAACTGCCTAAATATGGATTAATTTTAAAAGGAATATGGTAGATACCAGGATTATTATTATTTTTTTTTATTAATATCAGCGATATCGGTATCAAATAGAAGAACTTGGAGAGTAGAAGGCGAAAAGCGTAGTGGGTAGATGGGCAGGCGAGATTCGGATTACGTCGACTATAATTTTTTCACTTGTTTTCATTATTTTGCTTCATTTCATTTGCCTACCAATTCTGTTGACCTTATAAAAGATAAGCTAACTGCGATTCCCTGAGTTGAAAAATTTTCTAATAAATAATTGTTATTAACATAATAGTAATTGTTTAACAGCATTGATGTAGACGTACTTTGGCACTTGTAAAATTTTATTATTTAAACGAAATGAGAGTTTTGAGAATTTATTAATCAGAAAAATCATTACGAAGTAAGTCCTTTTTATTACATTTTAATAGAGAAGTTATAGTCAGTCACAGTTTATAACGAATCATTTCGTACAAATTAATTATTTATTATCTTTTGTCATTTATATTGAAATTGCAAAAAATTAATTGCTTCCCATCAAAAGCGTATAAAAATGTATTGTAAATATAACGTGCTATGTAAGCGTAAGCAACTAGGCTCCCAAGTGCGGAATAATGTAAGC